GATGAGAGTATCAGATCAGGGGCTCTGCGACAGGCAGCTAGCTAACTAACTACTCCCCCACGCACAGGAATCCTAACCGTTGGTTTATCTTTTCCTCTCCAACGCGCAAGTTGGGAAGAGAAAAACGATAAGCGAAATTGTTATTCTTAGGTAGTTTGGAATTGGCACAAACAGGAACTAACTGGATACTAATTAGGGGGTTATATTCCTTCTTGAGGTGTTGGTTGGTATGGAAGCATGTTGGCCTTTTTTTTTGGAGTTGAACTGCAACGCGGGGGCCTTGTATGCTCCTACACGATAGACCTAACGTGGACATTGCTGGGGATGTGACGTTTATCCACCTAATTGAACAAGTGTATCTTCCAAGAACCTGACTTCGACTCGAGCCCCGAAGATGCGAGAGACCATGATGTATATATCCGACCTATCGAAGGTTGTCGCTGTGATGTCTTATTATATACCGAAGTTATTGGTGTACACACGCATGCATGCATGTATTGTAGTTGTACAATAATACCCAAGGATTACGCCGCTGTGTGATATTGCGCCATTCAGCCCAGGACTTCGGACTTCCAAATGATTCAAAACATGGGTCAGCACCAACGAACCCCTTGTAATAGTATGTTTCCAGTAATTATAGCGTTGACGTTCCATTTAGCCCCAGCCGACATTATCAACGTTGGTTAATATAATTATAGAGTGGTAAGTAGTAAGTGGTAAGTGGTATGGTGTACTGTGAGGTATGTAATCGGCACCGTATCCGAGAGAACGGGTTAGCAAATGCATAGGTAACGAACGATGAATTAGTCAGAGTGGGCGAAAGATATGTCTAATAAAGGGTGGCCGTAAGCTACTTGGCCACCGAAAAAAAAGTCAATAGCCAACTCCTCAAGTCTCAAGTTTAGGGGAGTAGTGGGGCTTTGTCGCAGAAGAGTGAAAGTTGAGTCGGGTGTCGGGAATCGGCGAATGATACTGATATTGGGGCGTGGAGGCCGTGAAGGATGCAACGTGTACACAGCTGCATGTCTAAACTACTTTTCTCTTTTACCTCTCAGTAATTGTAATTTTCAGTGCCTAGGGCATGATGATACACCAATCTTACGCCATCATGTCATCACATTCTGCTAATAAAATCATTACGTGCTTGTGTGACAATGCCGGTTGATTTGACTGAGTGAATGATTTAATGGAATGATTCAATGGAGGGAAAAATACACAATGACTGATGACTGATGACTGGCGACTGGCGACTGGCGACTGGCGACTTGGCAAGACTTGACCGAAAGGGGAAGCGTACACCACAAGGTATTCACGAGGTGCCGCCAGATGATAATAAAAAACTCAATACCCCTCATAAACTGCCTAAAATACCTTGTCATAAAGTAACCTACAGCTAATCAACCTCATAACGTACCCAGACATCAAACCCCTCTTGTTTCTCATTAGCAACTCGAGGTTGAGGATAACATGATCGGGAACGTAATCGGCTTTCTTAGGATTCGACGACGATTGTGGTTGGACCGAGAACATAAACTCGCCTCTTGTTACAGAGCTGGATGGGCTGATTGGTGATGACTGAGAGATTTGAAAGTTGCATACCATGCCAAGCTCAGCTTAAGGTAGAGAGAGAGGGTCAGAGGATCAGAGGGTAAAGAAAACAGGGGCCAAGGCTTTTCCTGTACGAGCATCCCTATCCCTGTCAAGCCCGGTTGAACTCACCAGTCCCGAACTATTGTTGTTCAATCTGAATCATGTGATACTACGACTATATAATTTTATTAATAAGTCTCCTAGTGCCTGAGCAATTCGGTGGCTGGTCTGGCGAGCTATCCAACTTGCCCACCGCGACTATGACGACAGCGACCATAATGCGCCGCATGGATGTATATACAGAACTAACAGGTCGACTCGAGGTAACGGAAAGGAAGGAAGGGAGACTAAGGGAGACTAAGGTATCGTATCATTGGCACCGCGATCCTACAGACGCCATCCATCCTCTTATAAGGACCGTTCGCGCAACCTATTCCTCTCGTGTCCCAACAGGCGAATACCGACACCGACGTATCACAAAATCTCCACCGGCGTACAACATGATATCTACGCCTTCCTTTCTTCCAAATAGATTCGTATTGTGTGTAGCCTCGGTCGATACATGTTTGTGATAAATTCGTGGTCGTGTTACTTTTCTTCTCCGGGCCGCTCCACTTGGTTTACCCCCCACGCTGATGAAAATCGCCCGGAGTCTATGTTCACATAGGGTAGGTAGATGCATACGTTCGTTTTTGGTAAGCTTAGCCAGCTAGTTAGCATATAACGAGATGCGATAGGTCATTGGAGAGTTAAGATAGACAAGATAGAAGGCAGAAGGATGAGACAGATGACATAAGCCATCATCAACGTAGGCGAGGTAAGCCACTGAAAAGAATGCTGTGAAAGTCTTAGAGGATATCTATACATCATCAGCATACTCATGGTAGACTTATTACAAACTCTTACGACGCTTGATGGACCAAAAACACGCAATGTTCAGATAACTCCTTCACGTCTTCACGGCGACCATCGCAGTAGGGGAGCTGTCGAGTTACCATGCGGTCGTGTTTATGAACGGTAGTACGATGATGTCACGAGGCAATCTTTCGATTCACGCTCTCGAAGCAAGAGATGGAGATCGGGGCCTCTTTACTCGGATTCTTCTGCTCTAACAGGCACAGACAAGGCAGAAAAGGCAGGTATAATGCAGCTGGTACATATCCGATGTGTATTCCATCCCCTAGGCCTGCTCGCTACGGCCACTATTCAAAAGCTCTCATCCGGTGAGGCACACATGTAATACTCAATGCGCATACCTATAGGAAGCCGTGACCTTCAACATATCAAACAAACCAATTGGGGGTTAAAAGAGTCGTGCATGGGAGGTCTCATATTGCAACAAGGGTAGCTTGAGTCTGAAATGTTGTTTATAGCAGGTGGCTTCGGGACTTATGAGACATTCCAGCCCAGCCTTACGTAGTGAGCATCGCATATCCTTTGTGCTCTATCCTCTATCCTCTCAGACCCACCACTCACCACTCACTCACTCAGCCACCCCTTCCCCTCCCCCTGCCTCCACGCCCGCCTCTCGCACCCCTTCCCCCCCGTTTCCCCTTGCCGCCCCTACCGCCGCTCCCCAGCCTCTCGTACAGCCTCTCCTCGGCGAACGCCATCTCGCCGAAGCGGACGTAGCTGATGAGGCCGCGGTCGACGACGGCCACGACCGCGTTGCGCCACGCGTGCTTGAGGCGGCGGTACATGAGCCCCGCGCCGTCCTTGTCGGGCGGCGGCGGCGGCGGCGGGTCCCAGGGCGCGCGGCGCTCGAGCAGCGCCGTCAGCTGCTCGAGGGTCGGCACCGACGAGGCGCGCGCGTCCGCGACCGCGACCCGGAAGTCGGGCGCCGGGGGGCGCGTCTTCGAGAAGGCCGTGCTGCTCTTCCACACGTGGAAGTGGACGTCGAAGGGTTCCTGCGGGGGAGGCGTAGACGCGTGAGGGTTCGGAGACGGCCTGTGGCGCGGGATTAGGGCGAGCTGTGCGAAGATCGCGTCATAGGAGCGGTATAGGCCTGGCTTGACGACGGGGCCGTAGGGTGGGTGTGTGGGGGGCTTGTGTGCGGGTAGGAGGGAGAAAAGCCATTGCCATAGCGACTGCGCGGGTGATTGGCCCGAGTCTGAAGATGGCAATGGCATTACTGTCGCGCGCATGATCTTGTAGCCTGTTCTCCGGAGATTGGCGTAGACTTGGTATTTCTCAAGGCTGACCTTCCCTCTCTCTCCGTCCTGGCCGATGAGGAGCGCATATGCCGCCTGGAAGCTCATCGGGACACCGAGCTCGTAGTCTTCGAATTTTTCCTGAGCGGCATCGCCAACTAAGCCCTCGCTGTCGCCCTTCTTCACCGGAAAGATGTCTTCGATGCCACGCGCCGGCCACCAGAGATCCAGTGATCCTCGCTCAACCAGGTACAAGGCTTCTTCCGGTAATAACCACGTATTCAACCATCCAGGTGTTTGCTTATACGCTTCGATTCCCGTGACGACTCGTCCCGTGTTTTGACCCAACGGCCCTCTGATCTCGTTCTCAACAGCCACGACGCGCTCCCGAGCGAACAGCCCCGCTCCCTTCTCGCCTTCCCTCTCCTCCTCAGCCGGCACGCCGACCCACTTGTCCGGAAAGTACCAGCCGCGGGTGTAGTCCTTGGGCTTGTGAGAGCGGGTGTAGCTCAGCACCTCGTGCATGGCGCCGCGGCTGGCCTCCAGCGCGCCCTCCTGCGCGCGCGTGCCGTGGGACTCGAAGTCCTTCTCGCCGCGCCGCAGCGTCTTGCCCGACGCCTGGTTCTTGGTGAAGAGCGAGGCGAAGAGCCGGAAGTCCTGCGTCTCGTCCCCAAGTGCGTCCTCGAGGGACGGCGCGTCGTCTCCGCCCTGGGCCGCGGAAGCTAGGGCCGACGCGGGCATGGGATCCTCATCGTCGAAAGGCATTGCTGGTTAGGTGCTAGGGATTTTGTGGCAGTTTAAACCTAGGAAATGAGAGCCTTAATGCTGTGTGATGACGCAAAGTGGTGAAGATGGTATCACATGGTGGAGCCTAAAATAAATATTTTTGCCTGGGCCCTCGCGGTAGCCTCGCGAAAATACGCAGCTAACAAGAAGGGACGTAAGAGTGTAGGTCGATAAAAACCTCGAGGAATCTAAATCTCGGTATTCATTATGTTCTCGGTCTTATATTATAGGCCAATGGTAGAAGCTACGAGATCTAATATCGAGTCCTTACTCACATGCATTTTGCAGGGCTAACCATTCGCACTAGTCATTAAACCCGCTTAAGCACAACTCCCACAGGCCGATTGACCCACTCTTGATACTCGATAAGGTGCAACCTGCCAATCAGCTCGATCCTCCGCCCACGCCCTTTGCGCTCTTCGGCCAGATCTTGCTATATGGATAGTACCAGAGCCGGTTTATCTCAACAACAATGGGAGTTTGGCCGAGTGGTTAAGGCGTCGTGTTTAGGTCTTCCTAATGGAACACCATATAACCCGCGATGGGAAACCGCGCAGGTTCGAATCCTGCAGCTCTCAATATTTATTTTTTCCATTTTCATTTATTCCATGCCTTTTTTTTTCATCTTTTTAAAACCACAGTCATTTAAGGAATTTTTAATATTTTATATTTTATATATATTTTTTTAGGTCTCTACAAGTTCTCGAAGGCTGGGCAAGAAGGGCTTTGCTGATAGAAGTCATTCATCTAACGAGATCACCCCTATCATGAGGTTCTTGATCGTGACGTGGTTCTCTCCAGTGTCGTAATTATTGAACACATACTTAGATGAATAGTCTTGTTAATTATCTAAATTGTAGGTTCAACCTAACACGAATTTGTAGTGTTTGAGTAGCCTCATTGAATCTCGGATTGCCTGTGCAACGAAAGGCAATAATAACGTACATACGTAGCTCAAGTACTCGCATTGGATACGCCTTTCATCTCTTCCAGTCATGTTTGCGTGCCTGTTGAGAGCGGGAAATCATAAACGGCCCGACCTATGTACATATAGCAATTCGAATAGTTCCAGACCCTGCCCTATCGGCTGTATCAACTTCTCAGGCCGGCAACATAAAGCACACTGGCTAGTGTGCTTCTCCATCATGAGCCAGCTATTAATTGTCGTGATAGTACGTATTCGTTAGAGACGCATGTGCGTGCTTCGATGCTGGTGGCCAGAACTGGGGAGAAAAAACAAATCGAGGCCGCATAGACAGCCGTATTCCCTTAGAACGCCCGGTATCCGATGCGCTGGTATCCTATCTTCCGATCTCGTGCCGCCACTGGGAAATATCCCATAACCGTAACGCCGCAAGTCCGTCGTGACGGTGCCAATAGCCGTCAAACATAAAAGCAATTCCACTAAGCTGGGAATCCATGAACTCCGATTCGTGCATCCCGTCCTAGGCATCCCCTATCAATTACGGTCACCATTATTGAACTATCTCACCTATGCACTATCTAGCTGTCCCTAGAACCGGTCGAGGAGATCGATGATCGAGTATTGATTATATTGTCTCGCCGCATCAGTTAGAACCTCATTATAGGTCGAGGTAAAGTCGGAAAGAATCCGGTCCTCTCCTTTCTCCAGGCAGATAGCGTCATGTAATTAATGTGAGTAACCACGTCCACTGCTCTGTCGCTAATCCGGGAGGTTTGCTTTCCCCAGAAGTAGTATTGTTTTGAACTCTGCTCGTACTGGTTCGAGGCGCCGGACTGGCGAAGCCTTCGTGGTGGTTCAAATATATCGAAGTCTTTAGGCAGGATGAATCCTTTTAGCGGTGAAAATTGATCGGCATAGCCGAACAGTCAAAGACCCGCAAGAGCACATTCACGTAGGTTCGATGCGAAAGACCAAAATGCCTCGCATACGATATTAGGTGAACAATGAGTAGGCACCCTGCCCGAGTTGAGTCGAGTCGACAGGAGATGCTCTCATTCGATCAACGGTTTTTTCTGTCCTCCTACCAGGCAAAGTCCTAATACCGCCAGAGCATTGGGAGCGTCGGCTAAGACGATGGTGTTCGGTGGAAGCACAGGTTTATTCGCATCAACTGAGGAGGCATCTTTCGCGGCTTGTTCGATCGCATCCATCTCTTCCTTACAGGCTTGATGATCCAGAGGACATATAACGATGGGTTGTCGAAGCGTAACATCGCGGGCTGCCGTCAATTGCGCCTGTCATCCGAAAGGGTTAGCACTGACTCGCAAACGATTCTCCTCCATCCCTTCGTTCCCGCTCTCTAAGTATCATCACGCGCGTACCTTTATACTAAGGAAGAATTCAATCTTGTATAATGTGGATGTTGTTGTGAATGAAGTAACCTCATAATTCGGAAACGCAGGTTGTCCCCTTCGAATGATTCCGTTTGAGTCTCGCAAATCCTTTTGAGGAAAGAGGATGTGCATATTAGTTATGTAGCCGTCCTCAGGTAATTTCATCCCTATGGTTTTGGCGTGTTTCTGCAACCGATTGACCTTCTTGGTTGGCTCGTCGCCTTCAGGATTGTAGGTAATCTCCTCCTCGATCGCCAGCGTGATACTCTTTATACTAACTTTCCTCGCCTTAGACATCCAGTCCGGGTTGGGTGCTAGTTTTATATAAACGGTAATCGGGTCCATAGGTCCGTAGCTCCATCTAGGGAGCGTAATGCCGAGCGACACAATGCTATCGCTTGTCGCGACCTTAGTCTCGGGTCGATTGTACATTCCAAAGGTTGATAATGTATCGTAGCGCTGTAGGGGCACGGGGAACGCATACTTATTCTGTACGCTCTGGCCCTGTTGCACAGTCACTACCAGCTCGTAGAATGTCTCTGCGGTCCTGCTCGGAAGTTGTAGCGATGCCGGCGGTATTCTTCTATTCGTCTCTTCGCCGCTGCGCCCGAATGGGATGAACAGAACAAAAGGCAGGTCCATAGCCATGACGCTATCTGCCTCTCTGCCCGTCGTACACCGGTATAACAGAAGTTCCTTGCCAACAACATCGGTGGTATCGCGTCGAGGAGTACCAAGGTGCCGCTTGGCCACGTTTTCGGCGGCGGGGTGGATTGTTTCCCTTCGCTGTAGACATATTCGCACCAGGGAGATGGCAACGGGGGCGGAATAGCCTGCGGACGGTCTTATCTCGACTTTCCCTTCTATGCGTGGCTGCAAACATTCGTTAGTTTGGAACTAGGCGAGCTGAATAGACGCATCGCGTGGGCTCTGGGTTTGAATCATCGACACCATGTACCCCACATTGAAGAAGCGGAAAACATCAAGGCAGATAAACACGACATACAAGGGGAGAAGAACTCACCAAAGTCGCTGAAATGCCGGGGTACCCAACTAGAAAACTACTATTCGGAGGACCCGAAACCCGGACGGAAGCTTGTACTCGATCCGTCATCTTCACCAGAGGTACCCGTCCAGTGGAAAGAGAAATGGTAGATGTTTGGCGTCGGGTCGGCGCATCTATTCCTCATTGACGGCCACGAGCCGGCGCCTTCTTGCGGAATGCGATCTTCGGGTGGTCCAATGCGATCGATACGACAGGTATTACATGTCAGATCCTAGTCGTGGCAGTAGTCTGATCTTCGAATATATGAAATCTAATCTGCGATCGGGAATTATTATCGTCTGGAGTGATGGCGGCCAAGGTCGCTTGCGGGGGGGGAATGGGTTGGCCAAGGTCGCAAAAGGCGGGATACGATATTTGGCTAGGTTGGAGATTTCTTCAAAGAATTGCGTTGCCGTTGCTGGAGAGTGTTGCTGGAGAGTGGCTGAGGTAAGGACGCGAAGTTCGCCGGAGGTCACAGCCTGCCTGAACAAGCAAGGGTCGGGTCGACAGCGGTGGTAACAATGAATAGGCGGTGTTTGGAGTGATTGCGAGTAAGAAGTTGGCAAGTTTGCTTCGTAGCTCAGTTCCTAGGACCCAAGGTAACCGGCTACTTTCGACATAGATGCAGATAACGGGCAACGGCAGCCGAATCAGTTCAACATTGGAGGGGTTAAGGTTCTGGGCGACATTCGGTGAATCTAAGCTGCAAAACCATAGACAGTTTGCGTCGAAGATGGCTTTGCGTGAGAGAAATGGCGGATTAAAATCAAGCTACTTTGCACCCCCCCACAAGCTCTAATGCGTAATGCGGACCGGGCGTCGTGTTCTTCCAATCTTGAATTTAGGTAACAGCCACCAGAAAAGGAACAGAAACAATAGAAGATGTGGGTAGAATAAGGAAACCTGGGGCAGATTACCACCTTGCCCGAACCTGAAAGTTTGACCACAAGGGCATAAGGCACAAGGCACGAGGTACAGAACACCAACTGTAGGTGAGTTGAAGCCAATGGACGACCCCTTCCGATTCGGGGGCGGCAGGGCACTGTGGAGGCTGCACGGCGATAAAGATACCCATGGACCTAGGCGGCTTTAGGGCATTCCATCGCCAACAATCCTTCCTATATGCTGCCCTATAAGGATTTACCTGCACGTCCATTCCTGTGTACCTGTATACCAGGTAGGTATGTTTAATAATTTGACGAAATGCATACAGCAGCTATACAGACTCTCTTCCAATTTACACGAAACACGCCCCATGCTTTGATATCTCTTTTAAGGTATTCATAGCTCTGTCTCCAAATACTATTCCCGATGTTGAGAGCGTACTGTCAATGACGACAGAAGTAAGCTGTACCCAATGCCCTAGCTCAACGTCACGACGCTACCTAGGTATAATCACCACTAGTTAGGGCCTGTCATCGCAACGGCATAGAAGATGTACCTCACCCTTGTTCAATCCATGTGACATCCATTTCGCCATTCTTGCTAGCAATTTTTGGTACCATCTCGGCGCATAGTCGTAGACTTACAACGTAGTCGAGATGAAAGAAGAAAAGGGGAGCACCCACATGGCATCAGGGGTACACGTGTATTTGCGATAGAACGCCTCATGTGTACATGGAAGCTTTTCGGACGAAAAAAAAGTGTACAACATAGCGGACATGCACTTTCAAGAGTCCTACAGAAGGGTTTTGGGGTTGGGGGCCGAGTGGGAGTCAGAACCTTGGTAGCCTGGATGAGGCTGACGATCCCCGAAAGAGTTAAACCCCTGTTTGTCGACCTTTGCGGGCCTACGCGAAATGATTTTACTTCCAGCTAATATAGCTTCGTGTTAAATAAGGTTAGGCTTGATTCTCTCTTATGCCTCTAATACACGGATGAATAGACAAGAGACAATCGTCCTCTCATCGAATTTCCAATTCATACCAAAGGTAGTACTTAACATAGAGATTGCAATGGTTCCCGGAGAGAGCGATACCGAACCAGAAAATCAATCTCTCTTCGGTACAAATTGGGCTCTTCTTCAACTGTCAGCTGCGTTTAGCGCTTACGACCAGTCGACAAAACGGAATAAATCCTACCACATCCATTGCGCGCTGCATGCATGGGCGCCTTTGCCGCCCAGGGATGCAACCCTTCGGTGCACCATCAATTTCCATGCGGTAACCCAAATCGAAGAAGCGTTTCCCAAGAAATGGCAGAATGATTCGCAGG